GGGGCGGGGTCTGCCGCATTGTGTCCGAGGCGCGCAAACGGAATATGGTTCCGGGCGAACAAGGCGGGGTTGGGGCGTAACGCGGAGATAAGAGGGGATCGATTCCCCTCCAGTTGGAACGGGACGCGAATCAAACAACACAATCGGAGATCCCCTCACTTCGTCCTCCTCCGCCCGCCCTGCCGCGCCGTGCATAGGCACCGTGTGCCGCCACGGCGGGCTGCTCGCGCCGACCACCCCTGTCACGTCAAACCATGACAATACGCAGGCAAACAAGTAGACGAACTCAGAGGGCTCGGGGTGGAGGCGGCGCTGGAAGCGGCGCTTGGGGCACATCATAAACCCGAAGACACTGCTCAAGCGGACGAAGGGAGGTGGTGGAGTGCACGTCACATAGCTTGGTGATGAGAAGCCAACACGATAATCGACATCGGATGACTCCGTCTCCAGAAAAGAGGAAATCACGAGTTTAGAAATTTAGCCCCTCTGGACAAGTATTTGGGGCTACCTGCTATTCCCTACGCCCTGGCCGCAGAGGCACTAGAGAGGCCACTTACTCGAGACCACCCGACGAGGGGTTTTGAGGTGTACCGGACGTCACCCGCACTGCAAACAAAGAATAGGTTCGTATTGCAAACGATTTTCTTTGCAGCTTGCAAAGAATTTTGAAGCATTATTGTAATACGAACTAATTCTTCGCAAGTGTGCCAAACTTTCTTTGCAATGCAAACACACAGTTCGCAAGGATTTTGACACCATGCAAGGAATTTCTTTGCAAGTGGAACAAATTTTTTGCAATAATACAAACCTCGAAAATCCTATGCAAAATTGCAACGAATATAGTTTGCAAACTATTCTACAATGCGTGACGGTCCGCAGGGACGCGCAGCCTGCCTGCGACACAGCAGGGTGGACCTCGCAGATACGCACATCCCCTACCCTAGGATATGATGGTCAAGAAAAAAAATGACCGTAATTGACCAGCAGTCGTCATCAACATGATTAAGAAGCAAATATACCGCACCCAGAAAACTGACTTCTTGGACCAAGTACTTTGTACTAGACCCTTGCTTTTTCAAAAGCATATGGGTGCGAGTTTGGGCAGAATCG